ATATATATATATATATATATATATATATATATATATATATATATATATATATATATATATATATATATATATATATATATATATATATATATTACCTTATAATATATAATATATTGTAATATATAATTTCCTTACAATATATAGAAGTCTTATATTTACCTTCATTCAAAATAAATATAATTATATTTATTTTGAATGAAGGTAAATATAAGATTTTGTTATAAAAGAATTTTTATAATCTTTTTTCATCATATGAGAATTATTATAATTAATAGAAAAACTCACCATTGTAATTTATTATTTTTCAAATTTAATAAACAAGTTCTGATAAATTTTAAGTTCACCAAACTAGTTGCTATTATAAGAACGCGCGTTGTTTTTAAATTTAAAACAAGGTTTAGAAATTAAACCTACTAAAACAACGCATGCGTTTAAAATTTCCTCAAGTCTTAGAGTCCGGCTAACGAGATGTTTTAAAATCGGACTCTGCGAAACTCAAAATTTTTAACCAATCAAAACAGGGATCGATCTCAGGAAATAGCCGTTCGTATTAGCACTAGCAGAAGCCATATTTAAAAAAAAATCAATTTAACTATGGTTCCGCTAACCAAATAGTCAATACCGTTTTAACCGGTTTTATAAAAAAAATAAGGCGGTAGTTTTAACCGTGTTGCAATTTTAAAAAAAATCTGATTTTTAAAATTATATTAAAAAACTGCCCTAATTCTGAGCTGCAGAAAAAATAGTTTTAAAAATATAATATTCACTTGATTTTGTTAAAAGTTTTGAATGGTTTTTGATAAGTTAAGAATTGAAAACGCGGGCCATGGCAAAAGACAACGAGGGCCACTTTGTGGCCCGCGGGCCACGCGTTGGACAACCCTGATTTACACTAAAAAGGTATTAAATAAAAATAAAGTTTAAACGCGAAAAAATTTTTGTTACCTTTATTTATTTATATTTTTTTGTGAAATTTTTGTATTTTTATATTGATTTACGTTAAACATAAGGCAACATCATTGGCTTTTCAAAAATTTATAAACAAATAATCTGTTGCCATATAAAATATTCTCTGTAGTTAAGTACAGTACCCATTTTAAAAGTTCAAAAGTTTTTCGTATTTTCTTACGCATGCGTACCTAAACATAGCGCTTTTTACTAATATCTAAACGACCGTGGCCCTGGCAATCAATGCGCCCCCATCTCCTCTACAAGGTACACGACCAGTTAGAACACTTTTCACATGCAGCGTGTAGCTTTGTCCCAAAGGCTTCCGCAGGAAATACAAAGACCATTGATATGATGAGGATTACAGCTGGCGGCAGGAAGAGACAATATTTTGACTAGTAGACATCTTTGTTTGTTTTTTTATATTTCTGAGACCGTGTTCGGAATTTTTTAAGCTTTTTTTCCTCCTTTTTTTTAAACTTTTGTTCTTTGAGAATTGTTGAGTCCATTTTTTTTTGTTTCTAATAACTATTCTGGCTTCTTTTTCATCTAGTTTTCTTTTTTAGCAGCTTTCGTTGCTTCGTCTTGAACCATTGCAGATAGTTCACTCAAGTTATAACTTGTTGTTCTTTTAATTATTGTTTCCCTTTCTTTACTACCGGAAAGAGACTTTAAATTATTTCTAAGCACTCTAACCACTGATTTATTAATATCAAAAGAAGCTTGTTTAACGGCATTTGATGCTATCTAATTCTTTGAGCAACATTTCTTTTATTGAAAGTCTATTCATAGAGTTTTTTGAATTCATTTTATTAGTTTTATAGAGAGGAACTTGTGAATCGGAAGACTTCTCAGAAAAACAATTCTCAATTTTATTTTTTGTTACACCTTGAAAAATAGAGTCGATTGCAGTTTTATTTGGAGTTATTTTTAAACGATTGAATGGAAATATGCCTGTTTTTAAAACCACTACGTGCATTTTCCGCTTTAAAGCCTTTATTTGCAATAAGGTATTTAAGTATGGCTGGAAACTGCCCGTTATTTAAACCTAAATAAGAATTTCTAACCAAATAAACTTCTACAGTTCGCTTCCATTTCGCCTTTACTGTTTTAAAAACTCCAACATCTAGTAGTTGCAAAAAATGACTTGTGTGAGCTGGCAATCGGAGCAAAATAATGTTATTTGATTCAGATTTTTTAATTCAAAATTAATGTTAGATGCATGGCCATCTAAAAATAGAATTTTAGATCCTTTAAGTTTGTTTGCGTGAACTAAAAAAATTGAACAAAATCATTCTATAAATTTTTTGCTTTCTATGCAACCTAATTTGCTGGTAGAATAATAAACATCAGATGCACCACCTTGAACCCAAGCTTTCATCAAATTTAGACCTTTGTAAATGACTTAATGAGATAGGAAATTACCAAAAGCATCACAACAAGTTAAAATTGTAGTAAATTGTTTTTGATTTATTGGGGCAAGTTGTTTTAGATTTTTAATTTTTTTTCCACAAACAATGTTGACTTGGCCGAATTTTAATTTACTTTCATCAAAGTACACATGAAAAAAAAACACATGAAACGGCTTTTCATTTAAATTATGCTCTCGATAAACAGCATCAACCTGGCTGAACCATTCATCAATAATTGCCGGTTACGAAGACACCGCTCTCACGGCTTGAATGCTAGTAGCCTTTCTTTCACAGGTGTTTTTCGCATATTTTCTCATAAAACTATTGTACCACTTTCGGGTAGATTTATCGGTCTTGAATAAATGAGTTAGATTTCTTTAAACAGTTTTCGACCACAGTTAAAATATCTTTTTTTTTAAGCTTAAGCCAATGTCATTCATAAACTATAACAGTTCAACTATAGGCCTCTCCGTTACTTGGCTTATTGTTCTTGGTCTGCCAACACCAGCAGTTCCATTTATTCCTTGTAATCTGCAAAAAATAGTTGTTTTAGGTTTTAGTTAAAACATAAAGCGACTTCTGAGTATAATATCTTATTATTGATAGCCTCAAAACAGAGTTTAATTTTTCCTTCACGATCTTCATTTCTTTTAATTTTTGTCATTTTTTTTATTAACAAACGTTGATAATAATTCAATAAAAAAGTTAAAAGCGTTTATTAGTTTTCAAGTTAAAGTCGTTAAAATACTATTGTTAAATATTGTTGTGAATTGCTTGAACGTAAAAACGCCAACTTTTGCAAAAAATAAAATGTATTCCAAAATCCGTTCAGAATTGGGGAAATGTTTAAATTATGCAGAAATGTACTGTTTTAATATATTAATATTATATATTACGAAGCATTGCTAATTTTTGACTTTTTTTTCAGATAAATAATTACCATCAAACTATACATCGAATAGTACGCAATTAAATTTATCTTTTTTTTTTTAACCAGTTTTATATTGTTGGTTTTCAGGCTGTGTTTTACTTGCAATTAAAAAATTTTATGGTATCAATATATATTTTGAAAATATTTTTGCATATTCTCATTACCCTAGTCTTCCAATTTATTAGTCATTTTTCCTTATAAAAATTTAACAAAAATAAAAGATGTTACAATAAGTGAACTAAAGCTGTTCAAAATTACGAAAATCTACAGTAAATACTATTTATATTATAGTTATAAGAGAAAATTAGAATAATTGTAAAATAATAATTTATGACTCCTAAATTAATTTCCAAATAGAAAGGGATTATAGTTTTGAATAAAAAAGTGAAACGGCAGACGCTTCTTAAGCATTTTTATGAATTATACTCTTTAATAAACCTAGACTCGTAAAAAATATTGACAAGTATTTTATAGTTGTTAAAAACGTGTTTTTGAATTATCTTTAATAATTTATTGGGAACTTTTGATGCTATTAACTTGCTATAATTTCTATAAGTTTTATTCCACACATCGGCTTCAGCTTTTGCCTTTTTACAAATGGCGGACTAATAAACAAACAAAAAAAGCAGCTTTATTTTTCCTCCAATAAAATCCCGTAAGTTAGACATTTAGTTTAAATAATAAGTTTGAACGTAAGCAATCAAAAGATTACAAGTAAAATATAAAAATAAGGCGCACAATGCGAAAAGGAACCAAGTCTTCGAACACTAGTTTAGGAGATAATGAGCAGTAAAGGAAGTCTTAAAGCTTATTAAAATTCAAAAACAACTTTTCTTTATTTTTGCATAAACAATTACCATGTAAATAAGAACAACTTTTTTTTTGTCTGTTTTTGACTTAATACGTAAAAAAAGGTGTTTTTCTAAAACTAAGGAAAAAGTCTTCGTACTGAATAAAAAGTGCAATTTTAGGACCTCCTATTTTGAAAAGTTGTTATTTTTTAATCTTTTAGACTTTCTTTTATAAAAATACTTCATAAAAAAGCTTCAATAAAGAATCCATATTTTTTAATTAAATGCAGCCATAACACTTAGGTCTATAAACGTATATATATATATATATATATATATATATATATATATATATATATATATATATATATATATATATATATATATATATATATATATATATATATATATATATATATATATATATATATATATATATATATACATATATATATATATATATATACATATATATATATATATATATATATATATATATATATATATATATATATATATATATATATATATATATTATATATATATTTATATATATATAATTTATATATATATTTATATATATAATATATATATATAATATATATATATATATATATATATATGTAATATATATATATATATATATATATATATATATATATATATATATATATATATGTGTACACATATATTTTTTTTATATATCTATTTTATATATATATATACATATCTATTTTTTATATATCTATTATATATATATATATATATATATATATATATATATATATATATATATATATATATATATATATATATATATATATATATATATATATATATATATATATATATATATATATATATATATATATATATATATATATATATAAACAGGTAACTGTTTCTATAAAGAAAACATTTATATAATTTTATTTATATAAGTTGAAGATATATAGAAAACCAAAAAACATTATATTAGAGAAGTTCCAAACAAACTGTATCTTGGATGATTCGGTTGACTAATAGAATGAAAAGAGCAAACGCATATCTCTACCCATGGTAACTCATCTTCATAGTCTAATGACTTACCTTCATTACAGATACGTTTTAACTTGTTTTCATAATTCAACCTTATATTTTCATCACGTAATAATAACGAAGGTTTAATATTATTAAAGAATCGATGGGCCTCTTTATCAAATACATTTACTTGCAAAAGGCCAGTTGAGTCTAAAACTAAAATTTCAAAAGCATATGTTATGTTCATAAGATCGTTTTTACAATTAATACATTGCATTGTGTCATTGAATACAACTTCTTTAAGAAAAGTATCATTAAATCGTATAAATTGATCACAAGTTCCACAAATTCCTATTATACATTCTTGAATTATGGATGGTTTCACAGCAATAATCTTTACTCTTAAGCGAAACTTATTTGGAACATTGGATGACTTTACTTCTTCTAGCAATTTAAATGGGTTCAATGGAAAATCTGTAATAGTTAAGGATTCTTGTAAAGGACGAGCATGCTCTTCATTGACTTTTGACACCTTGATGTCCAAAGTAGCTCTCAGATCGTGTATTTCCTTTGTCAATTTTTTTGCTCGTTCATCGTCCTTGTTCAAAACTTTAAAGCCATTACAAGAATGGGGATTAGAGGGTAAGGTTAGCTCAATCCAGCCATGGCTAGCAGCAATCTATTTTAATTAAGTTAAATAAATATTTAATATAAAAATAATAATAAAAAAATTTTGTGTAGATGGAAAATAAGTCGTATTTATAAAAGGATACGAAATTATTAAAATAAACAAAACCTTATGAAACAAAGTTTATAGTGTTTAAAAAAGATCACCAAGTAAATTATCCTTTATCAAATTATTTCTGAGATAAGTGACACAAAAGTAAACACTATAATAAAAATTTGAAATACTGGAATTAATTTCAGCTCCATTTGTACAGTATCAACAATTGAAGGAGGGACATTCTTTGCATGAACACAATCCAAGTTCACAATACTTCCAGGAGTCAGTTTCAGTACCTCGTTTACTAGTTCACCAAACACACATATATCAAAACAGTACTGTTTAATAATGGGACTCAGTTCAAGCTCTATCAATCCCCTGCGGCGAAATGAACTATAGCAAACTTTAGATCCATCTGTAACAGTGAGCAAGCAAGAAGTATTTGACACAAGCGGTACAACTCGAATAACATAACCTACACACTTAAAAAAGCTTTCTGGTTTTATATTACAAAGTTTTGTTTCTGAAGTCAAAGAAACAACCTCAACCAATTTATGCTTAATACTTTCATACCAATTTCTTAGTTCTTCAACCTTGGCATAATCTTCTTTACTTATTGTTACTTTTGGGTGAGAAGATTGTGTAGTTGAACCATTAAATACCAACCTGTAATAACAAACAATAATAAATAAATATAATGTAGTAAGACTTATACCTCCAATCAAGGATGCGAAGTCCCAAAATGACTCCGGCTTTAAATCTTTTATTTTTTCTGTTCTTTGGTGTCCAGGATCTCTAAAAATGTTAATGTAAATTATGATCTGGAATGAGAGAAAAATTTATGAGATTTAATGACCTGGAACCTATTTTTTTTAGCCCAGAGTCCTTGCCGCTATTATACATAAGGACTACGGTTTAAAAAATTGATTGTTCCTCTTACTTAAAAATTTTTTAACAAAAAGTAGTCCGTAAGCTTCTTTACATTTTTTGAGCTCCTGGATACCAAAAATCAGGAGGAAGAATTTTTTTTATGAATTTTAAATTAGTAGATTTTAGTTTTAGAATTAGAATTCCGTTTTGGAATTCCGCGTCCGTGCCTCCAATACACAAATATATACATACATACGGGACAAATTTTTGATTGTTCGATACCAATTTTAAAAATTTAGTGGGGAGCTTAGTAAGATTATATGATAAATAAACTAAGATTATATGATAAATAAAAAATAAGTTTTTTTTTTTACTTGTAATGACTTTTTTTTTTTACTTCTTTATTTTATTTTATTTAATTTTTATTTTATTTGTAAAGACTTTTTTTCTTCTTCATTCTTTTAATTTCGTATTTTTTCTCAGAAGTTAGGCTTTAGAGACATTTGGAAAATCTTTACCAGCGTTATTAAAAAAGGTAGGCCTAACATTCCATCTCTCATTCATGGGACTAGTCTTATTACCTTTATCAAGGATAAGACAAAACTATTTGCAAAGAACCTGTCTTCTAATTCGACTCTTAAATCTTATTGCCATTCTTTCTTTTTTTTTCATTCCAATTAAATAGGTTAACCAATTGTTAGACATTCACTTCAGCAACGTGACTAAAATCTCAATTAAACTCTTCTACAGCTTGTGGTCCAGACAACATTCCTGTCATAGTCTTACAAAATTTTTCTCCAGAACTCTCTTCAAATCTTTCTAAACTATTTAAGAAGTGCTTGATTTGGTCTTATTATCCTGCCTGCTGGAAAATAGCATCTGTGGTTCCAATTTTCAAAAACTCCGGAGAACATTCTGACCTCTTCATCAGTCCCATCAGTCGTCTTTCAGTTCTTAGTAAGGTCTTTGTGTATTTGATCAACAAATTTCTCATATCCAATCTTGAGTCAAACAACTAACTGTCAGACAATTTCTCATATCCAATCTTGAGTCAAACAACTAACTGTCAGACAATCGGTTTTCAATCTTGAAAACTGCATTGAAAGATTTCATCGTGCATTAGATGGAGGCAGTAAAACTAGGGCTATTGCTCTTGACATATCTAAAGCTTTCGACAAAGTTTAGCATGCTGGTTTTATCTATAAGCTGGTGTATCTGGGAAATATGGTGTATCTGGGAAAGTTTTTCAGATTATCAAATAGTTTCTTCCTAACCACTTTATTAAAGTCATTCTCAAAGGCCAATACTCAACTTCATTTCCAGTAACATCTGGGGTACCTCAAGGTACCCTATCTTTAGTCGTATTTTATTTTTTATCTACATTAATAATCTTCCTGACAACCTTACATCTAAAGTAGCTCTTTTTGATGATGATGCCACTGTCTTAATAAAAAGTCTTCTCTTTTTGATCACTTAGTGCAGGAAGCTAATCTTGAATCTGATCTCACTTCTGTGACAGATTGGGCTTGCAGTGGCTTGCAAATTATAACAAAGCTCAGTTATTTACTACAAACAACTATTGCAATACTGCCAAAATTCCTATATTAACGAATGGCAATCTGCTCACTGAGCCCACTTCTTTACACCATCTTATTGTTCACTACTGACCTATCATGAAAAACCATATATACAATCGATTACTAAATTAGCATCTGCTAAGGTTGCTTCTCTTTATTGTGCTCACTAATTTTCTACTCCTGATTCCATTCTCTACCTCTACAAATTTTTATTTGCACCTGTATGGAATACTGTTGTCTTGTTGGTTCTTCTGATGATGCTTGTTTTCTTCTATTCAAGATCCAAAAACGCATTTTAAACGTAATTGGACCTGCTCTATCTGCCAAGCTTGAGCCTCTCTCCTATAGTCAAAAAGTTGAAAAAAAGTTGCATCTCTTTCTCTAATCTAAAAATACTCAGGACTGCCGAGAGCTCTCACGCCGCCTGGGACAGCAATCCTTATTGGCACCCTTACTTATAAAATTTTCTTTATATTATATAATGGACCATCTTTTTTTTTTTTTTTATTAGGCGTCCCTTGGATACCTGCCACCTGGAACAAACTGTCCCTTATGACCCCCCCCCTCTCGGCGGCATTGCAAATACTATCAAGGTTGCTGCTCAAAGGAGTTATCATCTCTAGTTCCATCAACCATAACCCATTCTCGCTTGAATTATCACTCAGCATTGTCTCATTCTATTACTGTATCTGTTCCTGCATGCTCTAAAAACTTTAATTTATCTAGTTTTATCCTTGCACTTCAACCCTTTGAACTCTTTTCCATCTTCATGTTTTCTTGACTCATACAACCTACAACTTCTCAAGTCTTCTGTCAACCGTTTACTTGTTCTTTAACTCTTTCTTTTCTTCTTGTAACTCCCAACTTAATGCTTGCAGTTGGTAGTGAATCAGGATTAAAAAAAAAACTTGGAAAGACTTTTTTTTTACTTGTAAAGTCTTTTTCTTTGCCTGTGAAGACTTGACTTTGCTTGTGAAGACTTGAATTTTACAAAGACTTCATAAATATTATATACACATAGGCATTTGGTTTTACTAAAGAGTTAAACTATGCATTATCTTTCTTTGGTAAGTTGTACTAAAAGAAGCTCCTCTTTCATATATAATTATCCACTTAACAAGTCTGACTGCTGCATACTATTTAGAATAATGAACCCTTGGATACTTGGTAGATTTAAAGTACTTACAATACAAAAACTAAAATAATTTTTATCTATATTTTTAAATCAATTTACATTTACATTATCAAGAAATAGAAAACCTGCTGAAGTAAAAAAAAGAGACATTATTTGAAGAAAAATGAATGAAGTATTTTAGTTTGGAAAAAATTCTTATGTAACATTTAATAAAACAATAAAAGAGAAAAAGAGAAAAGCAGCAGGCAAGGAAAAAGATTTTGCTTTCTAAAAAGACTTGAGAAAGAAAAGATCTTGGCAATTGAGATATAAGATATGTTTTTTTAAAAAAAGAAGTAAAAGAAGCACATCAAAGTTTTTCAGTAACCTTCAGCAGAGTTATTTTTGAATGATTAAAATCTATGTTCTTCTAGAGACTTACAACAAAATTTGTGGGAAACAAATACTTCAATTTTAAGGAGCTTCCAAATGTCTACTACTTCAATTTAACTTACTTCAATTTTAAGGAGCTTCCAAATGTCTACGACTATGTCTTTCTATAAAATATCTACTAGCGTACCACTCACACAGTACTGGGAGAAAGCACTAGTATGTATGTATGTATAAAGCACTAGTATGTATGTATATATAATACCCCACTAACATGCTGATGATTCTGTAATTTTTGTTCTAAATCGACATTTTCATAAGTTGCAGAAAACATAGCACCTGCTGAGGCAAAGAAAATAAGAGCATACATAAAAAAACATGGTAAAATCATCAGATTTACTTATAGATAAATTATAGTTTAGGAAATGGATGATATTGTGAAATGAACTTTTTGGACTAAAAGATTAGGTGTTTTGCTTCAACTAAACTTCAACAATTACAAGAAAATAACCAGGTGTTTGTTTGAGAATTATTTAACAAATTTAATGCCCATTGTTGATTATTGTATGCAGACAACATAAAATTAGGCAGCACATAGAGTATTTAGGCATGTTTTACCCTAGCAGGACAAAAGTTGAGAAAGTTTCAAACTTTCTTTAAAAAAAAATTGTATTTAACATTAAGTAATAAAAGTTACCAAAATTTATATACAAATAAATTAATTTAAAAAAAGCAAAAATATGCATCAAAGGACTAGACTGAACTATCAAGCCCAAGTGAAGAAAGGAAAAATTAAGGAAAAGAAAAAGGATAAAATAATCAAAAATATATAATCAACAGATGTTCAGAACAAAAACAAAGATACTTTAGTAAAGCGTTTAGTAAAAAATAATAATAATAATTTAGACACCGATCATGTAAAGGAAATGTACTAAAAACAAAGCAGGACACATAAGTAACCATAAATCTACAGTAAATACAAATGTTTAACATACTTTAAATAAAAATACACATGCATAGATATATCAGTATTTAAATGAACAAATATAAATTCATAGGAGGTATAAGATAAAGAAAAAACATTATTGCTTTTGTGTAATCATAGAGTGGAATGCAAGAAGCAAACTTGAGTCAAGTTCGACTTGAACTTTACTTTGTAACCAATAGCGGCAGAGTATTTTTTGAGGGGAAAACCCATACTCTGTCACTATTGGTTGCAATGTAAAGTTCAAGTCAAGCTTGACTCAAGTTCGCTTCTTGCATTCCACCCATAATTTATGCATACAAAAGTAATAATTTGTTGATTTTTAAGTCTGTGTGTGCGTATTATATAAGGGTGGTTCAAAAAGCAATATTTTTGTAAAATATCTGCATGCACCCTATTGTGTTTTATGTGAAAAAATAAAACTGGATTTAAACTTTTTTAATAATATTAGGGATCAATTAAATGTTCAAGGGTCTGAAAGCACCCCTAAAAACATTTTTTCTTATAAAAATTTTTTCAAAAGTATGTCTTGTTGGGTCTCAAATGAAGCACAATTATGTAAAATTTTCAATAATAATCATCATTTTATAAAAAACATTAACAAAAAAATATATAGTGAAAAAAATTGTGTAAAAATGCACTCATTTTTAGTAAAAAGTTTTAACTACTATCAAGTAAAATCACTTTTATTTTATAAATTAATTATTTCTGAGGACTCAACCACCATTGT